AAGACTTTAAATGAGAGCAAATGATAATGTTTCTCTCCTTTTTAAAATCATATTTACAATATTATACCATTAAATGAAAAGTGCAGTACATGATGATCCCAGTGTAGTTTTACACCTTCCTCCCTCATCCACACATAGAAATAAAAAAAAGCTATATGGGGGAGGGGGCAGGTGGGTTGGGGCATGTGTGTGTTTACACCAAAATGTTTAAGGTGATTATGCCTGGATAGTAGGCTCCTTTTCTTCTTTATTTTTTCTATTTCTTTTAAATCTTCTGTAAAACACAGGTATTATTTTTAGAAAGACGCCTACAAATGTTATTTCTTTAAATGCATAGAAGAGAAACTGTCTAAAAAAGACTGGCGAGAGACCAATGGAAAACTGATGGTCCCCAGGAGATGAATCAGTAGAACCGTAAGTGTTTCCTCGGGTCATTACAAAAGGGAGCTCTATGGGACTTATAAAAGTGTAATTGTTACTTTCAAGCTAAGTTTGTTAAGGTTACTAAGCTTAAGTAATTCCAAAATAAACATATTATCCTTGGGTCTCCAATACTGTCTTCAGTTAAAGTCTGTTACAGTGAGGTTCAGAAACATGAAGAGCATCCCTCACTGAAACACTTTGCTTGGAGAACCAGAATATAACCTTATACCACTGGAAAAACAGGTTTAAGGATACCCCAAATAAGTAGTCAATGGCAGCTCCGCTTCCTAGTCCATCATTCAGCCGTATGATGCTATAATAGTAAAGATGTGGTTCAAGAAACAAAAAGTTTGCAAACAAAAGAGTCCATGAATGACTCTCCTTTAATCTCACTAGCATGAAGTTTTATCAGTGAACCCTCTCTATATTGATAAGACGCAGGTCCAAGTAAGTGATTATTGCCACTTCTATGAGATAGCAGCTATCAGATTGCATCCCTGCAAAAGAAACTAATCAATAAGGCAAAACCTTACTAAAATCCTTTTCAAGGATAGTAATACACTAACAAAGCAATGCAAGAGCACTTTACATCTGTATCCATTAGGAAGTGAAATACATAAAATGCATGAAACAAATTCAGCTCAGGTTGAGGCACAACAGAAGCAACACAGTTGTACCAAGGAGATCTCTGGTATGGCTCTTAGAGTTCTTGCTAGATACAACTATGAAATATTTCAGTGCCTTTAAGGGTCATGGAAAAAGAGTATTCCAAAGTACTAGAAATTCCTCCTGCACCACAAGCCACCTCCCCAACTCCCACTTCCACAAAAGAGAACATAAGCACAAACCTACTGACATACTACAACATACAGCCCTCTACCCAGAACTGCCCACTAATTTAATCCTTACGCTAAGTTTTCACTCTTTAAAGTATTAAGCAAATTTTTTCCTATGTAAAAATATCTGACTTTATAATGAAAATCACTCAGAAAATGGGATACATTGTGCAGCCAATTTCGCTGAAATATAACCTTCAGTTAAGTTAGGGGTCCTCGTAAGAGTTCTACAAATACATTGAGAGGATTTTAAATGTGTTCTCTGTGTTCTTTAAGTTACTTTATTTCCAAGAAGTCAAGGTTACATAATATTTCTTGACTACGGTTGACTGTGCCAGTAAATTACAGAGAGAAGTAGTATTACTTCTGGACCTAGTTTCTACCTCTAAGGAAAGCCTTTCCATTTTTATAGCTAACATGACAAAATCTACTTTTTCAGCCAAACTTCCTCAACACAGCAGTTTAGATACTATTTCAAATACTATTAAATTTAATGGCAGGCCTAAATTCAGACTTCTTATTTCACTTTTGCACCTACTGGAAATTATTTCACTCAAAATAATTATGTCTTCAGATGATTTCCTATTTCCACTTAAAGTAGAAACAAATTAGAACACTTCAAATTCTATTTGCACTTCCTAAATACAGTAATGACTCATTTATCTGGCATCATCAAAAAATGAAGTTCTCCACAGTAAGCCTTTTCCAGATAACTAAAGCCCACAAGAGCAGAGAACTTGTCTGCCTTGTTCCTGCTGTACTCCCAGGACCTAGAACAGTGCCTGGTACATAGAAAATGTTCAGTAGCAGTCACCGAATGTGTGAATAAATAAAAGTACTAAAGCTCTTTTATTTTTAACCATTTGATAAACATTTTCCTACAAGAATTACAGCCATCTCTTGTTTTTAAAAAAGGTATGACACTGAACAGAAATGAAGCTATATTATTAATTTGGGTTATCACTATAAACAGCAATCACTCTACTCTCTACCATACATCCATAATGCCCCCAGATGCTATTAAAATACACAGGGCTTTTTGCCACCCTGTTAAAATGGCCTCAGCATGCTATGTTTTCATAACTTTCTGTTTTCTGATATTAGCTGACATTGCTATGTTTGCTGTTGCTGTCTTATTTTACACACAAATATCTGGCAAGGTTCTAAAGTTAATTCTGCCTCAAAAGCAGAATAAAATACGTGGACTTAGTTACAATTCAGAAGCCTTTTCCACTCATTTCTGAGCGGTAACTACATTCTGATTCTATTTATTTAACAGGCTCCTCAGACACACACATACCCGCCGACCACATTCTACATAAAATCTGAGATGGTTCTATTAGTTTTAAACAAGTGTCTTAAGGATTTTCATTTAAGTGCTAAGTTTCAAATATTAATCATGAGTAAATGGCTTAAAGACTAGCTCCAATATAAACCTCAGGGCATACTTTTTTAATCTATTTAGGAGACACCAGCCACGACAAAGCTGGATTTCATCTTGCTTGATAGGCTGTGATAGGGCCATAATTTAGATTCACTGTTCCAAAGTTCATGGCAGCAAAAATCAAACACACTGGCAGCCATGGTGTACTGTGCTTGTACAGAAAGGCACATCTCCCCGAACCTAAGATGGAAAGGATAATTTCAGTATAACATTTAGTTTATACAATATAACTAGAGTTCCTTCCCCACAACAAACTTTGAATAATGTTTATAATTTAGCAATCAACTGAAATGATGAAAGAATTACCACAATTGAAATAAAATATTTATGTATTTCAAACCAGTAGAACTGTATCTTCAAAAACTAAAATAAGCTAAAAGAAACCTAGTTTTGATTTAGGGATGGATACAAATAAAATGGAGGTTTTGTTTATTTGGGTCTTTGAGATGCTTTTCTTCTTTTTAAAGACTTAATGAACTCCCATTTAAAATAAGCACGGTTTACTAAATTAAAGGACTTGATTAAGTATTCTTTAAAAGTAACTAGCTGGGTAAACAATAAAGTAAGTTATCCAGGAGTCGAGAAGAGAAAAATTACTTCAGACTGTTTTATGAATATTCTTCCAAAATCACCAATCCTTCAACAAAAATAGTTCAACGGAAGATTTCAGTTCCTGGTACTGAAGTGAACAAAGAGAACCACATGTTTTTAATGGTTGCTCATAAACGACCCAAATAAATCTCCACAAAAACAGCAGTAGTTCTTCTGTATTTTTCCCTTCAAAACTCACAAGACCAATTCAAGATAGAAATAAAAATTACTGTACTTTATGGCACTACTCAGTTTGTGACACATTTATTTGCTGTCATGAAAGTTAGAGCCTCAACAAAGTAAATGAGATTTAGGGCAAAACTTTTTTTTAACATTTTAAACAGCACAAAATGTCCTTGCCATTCGCAGCAGAAAGAGTTTACTCTACCTCAAATGAGAAGATTTTCAAACTAAGTGAGAAACTTAAGTATTTATACATAAATGTTACAAGGAAGCTTTCCAAATAGCTTTCCAATCAATTATGATGCTGACCTTAGATCAGAATTACACTGCTAACTACCATTTATAAGAAATGAAGCCTACACAACACAAAATATAACAGAATTTAACCACTGATGTTCTACTTTCCCTGACTTTAACTTTGATTCAAACACAGAGCAACAGCACACCCTGCTGGAAGTCAGTTATACAACTAGAGTAATCGGCAGTACTGGAACTGCTAAGATTTCACCTAAGATGAAGATTTCACCTAAGATTACTTCACAACCAGTAATTTCCCACTACCTAGGAAAAAAAGGGGGGGCTCACAGGCATTAACTATCAGGTGCCTATACATGTGACCTTAAAGGTTAAATTAAGACTGAGAATAACTCAAATTAAAAGATACTGCCTTTTCCTGCTGATTTCCCCAGCCCCACACAGCCCCAACCAACCCAAATGATTTTACTATTTCTGGTCTTAACCCCAAATAAAAATATTTGCAAATCTGCTTTGTGTAAAGAGAAACTGATGATCACATAAAAGAGGAAACTACGGGCATTTTCTGCATATGACTGCCTGAAGTACCGTTTCTCTTCCCCAACCCATCTTGGCCTTAGTCCCCAAGGCCCAGCATTAAGAATCCACAAGGCAGCCTGGTGATCTATGAATCACAATTTACATGCCACTGGCAAAATGCCTGCATAGATTCTAGAATTCAAAATATGCAGACTATATTAACTATATGCCGTGAAACTGCATCTAGTATGTTTCAACATTTTCACAGACATGGAAAATCATGGAAGCCACTGTCTAGGTAATCCAGCTCTGCCTTCTCTAACTCAAACTTACAGGAATCAGAGGATGTACACAACCATATCCAAGTTTTATAAATGTGCTCTTGGCTACAGAAACAACTCCTTGGTACCACTGAGATTCCTCCTTAAGGAAAACAGGCTATTTTAGTATTGATCTACATTGTTCTGAGTGACTAGTGGTGACTTCTTGGTTCCTTGCTCTGAGATTTAAAAGGTTCTGAATGACCTGTGGCCAACGTGCAGGGCACTCTTCAGTCATCAAAGCGAACAACTGCAAAAATCCAATGAACATGGCCAAGGAAGATCAAATACTTCGGTGCAGTTTTCTTCAATACTTGCAAAGGTAACAAACACCTGAAGTCTATTCTTCTGAAGTTGTCTCCAGTGGTATTATGGTTCATTACTGCAATTAAGGTACTTTTAAAATTAGAACTTTAAAAAGATACCAACCTCAAGCCTCTTTTCAAGAGATTCAATTCTGTCCTTTTTGCTAGCTAGATTAGCCCGTGTGTAGCGGCTCTGCCCCGGAAGATACAAAACTTGACTGTAGCATTCTTCCCACACTTGGTTATAAGCTTCACTTGAGAGTTCTCCATGGCTCATTCCTTGTTTTACCACTTCCATCTCCTGCACCAGAACATCTTGGGCCTGTTAAATAATAATTTAATAAGTTTAAGTACTACAGCACTTGCCAGCACCAGGAAGCTTAAAAAGACTAGTGTTTTTCCTTCCTTCCTTGCACCGAAGGCAAAGAGTTTTGGTTGGTTGTTTTTTGGAAAAGTGGGGGAGGGGACAATACCTAATAAAAATGGATTAAAAAGTCTAAAAGTCAAGGTAGACTAATCTTAAAAAGTCAAGAATCCATGTTTCCCCAATAGTATAAACATCCTTTGCTTTCACTAATTATAAGAGCAACTACCACTTCTCAGGTATCTACTATGTGCCAGAAACTAGGTTTAAAAGTTTTACCCACATAATCTCCAAAGATCACAATCATCCTACCAAGTAACCAATATTAACCTTATTTTAAAGTTGATGAAAGTAAGGTTCAGAGAGATTAAACAACTCATTCAAAACCACATCATGGCCAGGCATGGTGACTCACACCTATAATCCCAGAACTTTGGGAGGCTGAGGTGGGAAGATCACTTGAGGCCAGGAGTTTGAGACCAGCCTGGACAACATAGCAAGACCCTGCCTTTACAAAAAAATTTTAAAATTAGCCAGGCACAGTGGCACTTGCCTACAGTCCTAGCTACTCAGGAGGCTGAGGCAGGATTGCATGAGCCCAAGAGTTTGAGGTTACAATAAGCCATGATTATGCCACTGCACTCCAGCTTGGTCAACAGAACGAGACCCTATCTCTAAAATAAATAAATATATCTATTTTTTAAACCCACATTGTTAATAAGCAGATGAAGCAGGATCCAAGCCAAATGGCACCAATGCTTGAGTGTGCTCCTTCCACTCCACCGTTCCACTGACACTCAGGACCTCACAGGACAATGAAGGGGAATCAGGCATCTTTTTTTCACGACTTTCTTCTCATTCTGAAGGAATGTCCCTGACATTGCCAGAGAATGAGACTGGGGCACAAATCAGATAATGACAGACCATAACCCAGCTTTAAGTTCACTACGAAACAACAAATTTAAGATGACAGAATGAGAGGGATGGTTGGGCAGACCTGGGTTCAAATCACAGCTTTACAACTGAAGTAGCTGTCTGAACTTGCTTAACTTTATGATGCTGACCTTAGAACCGATATGTTTGTTATTAGGATTAAGTGAACAATATATGTTAAAAAGCCTAGTCTAATGCCAGACACATAGATCCTATAAGCAAATCTCATGAACTTTTTCCAACCCTCTGCTTCATGGCTCATGAAAAACTGGCAACCACCTTCTTTGCCTTATAGAAGGCTTTCAATCTTCCTAGTAATACTGGAAAATAAACACATATCAAAATATATAAAATCAAGAGAAATGACCATGAAACCAAAAATTTTAACAAAAAAAAATGGAAAATCCTGTCTACAGATGATAAGGAATGGATACTTTAAAACAATACCTCTTAAGGGAAATAATGGTAACAAACCAATTTTGACATGTTTAATGAAACCCTGACACTTTATTAAAAGAGAAATGCAATTTCACTTTGAAACTGTACACAATAAAAATTTACAAGTCTGGCTCTTGCAATCAGTAGGAAAGAATACAGCTAAGGTATCTTTAAACTATCCATAAATAATCTGCTAAATAAATAGCTGTTTTAAATTCTTTTTGGAACAAAGAGGAATATAAACGGATATATAAAGTATGAGAGAATAAACTATTTTGTTTCAAATAATTCCAAAGCCGTACTTTGAATTTATTATTTTCAAAAACTGTATGAGAACTTATCCTCTATAGAACCTCTAAAAGCAACAATGTGATCCTTGTTTCAGGTTTCCATACATATAATAAATTTAGGGAAATTTATTTCCTAAATTCCTTTTTCCCCTCATATTTTCACTCTAAAAAAAGGAAGCTGTGCAAGTATCGATTTCACAGCGTGATTCTCAACCCCAGTTCAATGATTAAATGTGCTCACCACAGAGCAGGCACTCGACGGATGTCAGTTTCCCTATCGCACTTACCAAAAAATGAGTAACTCAGAGTTACTCAGAAATCAGGGAAAAGCAGTTGAAATATAAATCTAAGCCCTCCTTCCTTTCTCTATTTTCTACAAAAGCCTATAATACATATGTACTACTTATGCAATAAGGAAAATAGAAAGTAAAAAACTGCGGAGTGGGGAGAGAGGAAAAGCGCAGAAGAGAAGACAGGAAAGAATCTTGCTTGTTTTCTTCCAAGTGTGCAGCAGCTCATCCCAAATCAATGGGTCTATCAGTGCTGCTCAGGTATGAAGGCTAAAGAAAAAAGGCTTTTAAGAAGCTAATGACTACTCTGCTTCCAACTATGAAATCTACTATATACTTTTTATCACTGTATCACAGCTATTTGCTCTGACAAAGCAGAAAGAATAGAATGCATATGGAGGAAGAGGCAGGACATAGACTTTACATAAGATATTATTTCTTCATGTCCTTATCCAAAAGAGTTGGGGGAAATCATGTGAAGGGAATAAATTTAGTAAAAAACATTTCCTTCCGGCTGGGCGCAGTGGTTCACGCCTGTAATCCTAGCACTCTGGGAGGCCGAGGAGGGTGGATTGTTTGAGCTCAGGAGTTCGAGACCAGCCTGAGCAAGAGCGAGACCCCATCTCCACTAAAATTAGAAAGAAATTAATTGGACAACTAAAAA